GTTGTGATTGTCGTTGTTTATAAGTTGTGAAGTGGTGATTTTTGCATGAACTGATTCTAATATAATATTTATCATACGTTTTATTATAGTGTTTGATATCTCACCCCTTTTGTTTGAGTGTTACCCTTATGTTGGTAACGTGCAGGTAATCCAGAGTAAAGATGGTTTACCTTCAGTAGTTCGAGTCGGTGTCATTGCTCTGATATGTAACACTCGGGGGGATGAACGCTTGTTGCTTTTAGTTATTGTTATTTCAATTGTCGAACTTTAAGTTGATTATTGTTAAGTATTTGTTATTCAGAAGTTATTGTCATGTTGGATAAAGATGTTATTATGACTCCGCTGCGTAGTTGTTCAAGTTGTTGATTTTAAAAGATTGATTTATTTTGCTGTTGGTTCATCCAAAGTTTTAAAGTGTTATGTATCCATGTTGAATGCAATGGTTTTTAAGTTGAATTTGTGGCATCCTGATTCAGTTGTAGAATTTTTATAACTTTGATTTATATTTATATTTTTCGGGTAGAATTGGGGTGTTACACATAGTTTGGCCTTCGCATGTCTACATTTACCCCATTTCGAGCCATTATTCTTTTGACCATAGCTGCCAGTTTATTTCTCATGCATATTCGTCTTGTTGAACATGTTGAAGGACTTCGTCTGCATTCTTGGGGCCTGGACTTCCCTTGGTATCGCTTGTTCAACCCTGGGTTGTTAGATTCTTTTCCCTTAGTTAACTTAGCCGTTATTTTGCGCAACTGGTTGTGCTTAGTTAACTGTTGGATTCTCCTAAAAAACCACTCCTTGGTTTCCTCTTACCCTTTCTCGATGGGATGTTAAAATGGGGCTCGAGGGCCGCCAAAGAAATATGCAATTCGTGCCATCTGTGCTGCCAATTGTTGATTCGTCTAGGCATTTTGTTGATTTATTTGGGTAGCACTTTGATTCAATGGGTTAAAAATCGTGCCCATTTGTTGGGCTAAAACACCAACCATTTCATGATTGCTGCAATCCATTTGTTTCCTAAATGTCGTCGTAGTATTCGTTGTCATGGTAGGTAATTGGGTAGTGAATTCTGAGGGTGGGATAATTCGACCCATATATTTGATACCCGATCATGATCCCTGTAGTGGTGAAAAAGTGGACACTCGTGGATCAGGGAACATTGATGTACTATTGTTCAAACTGGCCATCATTGATGTTGGCATGCCATAAATTTGTTCGCAGTCATCCATTAGCATTGTGAATCCAGGTGTGAAATGTCAGAAGTTATTCGTCCATGGTTGTCCCGGGGTCATTGGTGGACCATGTGCTTGTAATGGAGACATGATTGGACCACTATGAGTATTCATCGGTATTCTCGTCGTACTCGCTTGAATAGGTATCGATTAGATCATAGATATTACAGTGGTACTTCCCCCGTTAAAAGATGGGGTTGTTCTCCATTATTGCTTGGTGGATTGACCATTCTTCTAACGTATTTTCTGTTGGGTATTACTTCATTAGTTTTGGGTAATTTACCATTTCTTAATATCATGCAACAATGTTAATAAGTTTTTGTATAAAAATGATGAAATTTTCTTAACAAAATAGACATTGGGTCCCACAGAGCGTGCCAATTTGTTTATCGTGAAATTTAGTAAACAAGCGCTAGTCTTCTGAATCCTAAGGATTCTGGTTGCTTACAGGATCTACTAAATTGATCATAGGACAATAGTGTATATTTTGTTTTCTAAGTTTTCTGGATATTAGTCTCTTTGATATAGATCGTTATTTCGAAAGTAATAATAAAAAGATTCAAGGTAAAAACTAAAATGTAAAGTAATTTCAATTTAAACTTAAAAGGAATGTAAAAGACTTTAATTAAAAAGGAATGACATTGAATATAAATTTGATTCTTCATACGTACATTCTCAGTAACTCGTTTCTTAAACACTTGGTACTTTGAGTTATTTTGAGTAATTTGTACAAAGAAATAAACACACATAATTATAACATAAAAACTCCTATTTATAATAATTCAAAACTAACTACCACGAACGGTCTTCTTCTAAGAGGATGACACATTCTCGTTTGCATATCTCTAGCACTTCACAAGCTTCCACGTATCTCTTAAAGATCAGATGAGCGTTAAAATCAGTTATAGCCTCATTTAAATATCTGTCGAACCCGTCTCGAGTGTCTTCAAACAAATGCTAAGTCATTCGCCTTACATTATTTCATCTGTGTAAAAACTCGATCGAAAACATGCCTTCTAACACTTCAAGTCAAAATCAACTTTCATCATCCCACACTTGTCTTTGTAGAATTCTCCTCGGATCCTCTATTTGTTAGAGGGTCGAAATTACAGCTAACAGGAATATAAAACACATTGGTGAGAACAAATTCAGGAGAAAACATAATAGTTCATGCATGTCAAGCAATGGAAAATTGTCATGTAAGAATTCCAACATGAATAACAGTAATTTCATGAAAATAGTGAAACCATTTGAGTGATCCACATATGTGATCACTTGCTCGTGAATCTATTATTCAAGAACCTAAAGTAAAATTTTGACATGAAAGAGAATATGAAAAACTTGTATTGTGCTTACCAATTGGGTTAGATCCAACTAATGTAAAATAATGAACTTGATTGGAGGAAGTATATGGTTGTTGGTTGATAGTGGATTGTTGTAGTAAATGCATGAGCTGTTCATATTGCTCTAAGTAATTGATGGAGGACTTGTCTTCAAATCAGTGATTTGTGAAGATGCTTCAATCTCTTGATCATTTGTAGAAGAATGATTAGCAAATTTCTTTTGCACGTGAGGAGGAAATCCATGTTTGGCATAATAATTATCAAATGTATGGTTTGTTTTTCCATAATGAGTACACACATGACTGTTTTCTTTGCCAAAAGAGTTATATCTATATGATTTTCCTTTAAACCTTTGAGAGTCAACATCATTCATAAGGGAAGTAAGATCTTCAGAAATGGTAAAATTTTCTTGTCTTTCATGTTGAAGCACCATAGAAAACTTTTTGTTCATAGGAGGAAGAAGATCCATTAATAGAATTTGAGATTTCACAACATAAAAGTTTTAATTTAGGCCACTAAAGAATCAGATTGCATACAAAGTGGTGTGATTTTTCCTAGCTCTGCGCATAGCTTGACATGGACACTTAATGCGACAAGTACATGTAGGGATGAGAATGTAAATCTCAAGTCCTTCCCATAGAATCTTTAAGTCTGAGTACAAACCAGTTATAGGCCTTTAATCTTGTTGTGCTATATGTTTCTTGCATCAACTCAGAGATGAGCACCAAATCACCTTGGGAGAAGCGCTCATTGAGATCGATCCATGCATCAATTATTTTTTCTATGAAGATGATGGATTGATCAATTGACTCGAATACAAAATTGATAATCCATGAGCGCCCAAGCATATTGCACCATTTCCATGCACATTACAAAGGATAAAATAATATCAATGATTAGATCAATCGTTCCATCAATGAACTAAAGTTTCATCTTACCTATGTTTGTGCAACTCATAAGGTTACAATGTTTTATATATTCAGCATGAGGATGCACTAAGACTACTATATGCATGCAAGCATTTGATCAATCATAACAAAATTTGAAATTCTATTATCACAACTACAACTAACTGCTATGACTTTTGAATCAAGCTATCTTATTTTCATCATATACATCATGTGATTTTCATCTCCTTTGCTTTAGTGAGGCTTGGATCATTTTGCATATTGTCATTTAACAAAGATCACCACTAGCATCTTCAACCACCCAACAACATCATCTTCAACAACAACATCATTTTCAACAATACCACAACTTCACCATAATCATCTTCATCAACAACATCACCACAACTTCACCATAATCATCTTCATCAACAACATCATCACTACTATTTTCAACCACACAACAACATCAACTTCAACAACATAATCACTACCATCTTCAACCACTTAACAACATCATCTTCTTCAACAACAACCTACACCATAACAATCCAATAGCCAAGCTAAAAATGAAAAATCTGAAAATAAAGTAAAAGGATGAAACTGACGCCGCCGCAAAACCATCTCGACACCTTCTCCGCTTCTGTGTTTCTCCGCAACCATCACCATACTTGAGTTTCATTTTTCGTTTTTACAGCAAAGATATTGTTTTGATTTTATTGTTTTTTTAATTATATTTTCATAAGGAATTTAGATTGATTAGTTATGTATATGTTTGGGCCTAAAAACACTTTAGTTTAGTTGGATCATCTTTCAATTTACAACATGATTTTGTGTATAATCATTAGATGTTTTTTATAATTAAGTTTTTATTTTTTATGTTGTTAATAAACAAAATAAAGATATTTATATTACTATCTTCACTTATTATTATTTTTGTAGTATGATTTTATTTTTTTAAATGTGTTTTGAAATGTAAAAATGTCACAAGTCACTTTAAAAAAAGAATTTGTTTTTTTTATTGAAAATGAAAAATAAAAAACCAAATTAAAAAAGAGTTAATTGGACGTACGTCCTCTTAACTCTCGATTACTCTGACATAAGTCGTATAATTTATTGGTTTGAATACTCTTTTTTTCCTCCGTAATGTAATCTAGTCGTTCTAAGTCTTACTTTAATAACCACATTATAGGAAAATCGATCGATAAATGTACATTTATTTTAATAGTAAAGAGTTCAAGACGCAAGTTGTACAATTTGATTGTGTTGAATCTCATTAACGGAACTTGGACTAAAATTGGAGTAATCAGATATAAATCCTTTATTCTCGAGGGCTCAGACACAAATCATACGACTTCGTTCATTTAAGAACTATTTTTTATAAATAAGATCAGATGAAAACTAATTAATAGAATATATATCCCTTTGATCCCCAAGTGTTCAGACACAAATCATATAGGTTACACCACCGGATAACAGAACGTTGCTAAAAGTCAAAAACCCTATCGCCGATACTTGACTCCCTCTAATCCAGTATGACAATGGTGCTAAGAAGAGGAGCGATGACACTCACCTTCCTATTCCAAACCCCTCCTCCTTCTCTCTATCTCTCCCACAATTCCTCTCTCTCTATTCCCAGAACAACCATAACCCCTTCTCCTCTCTCTTTCCGACACTCTTCAATCCCCGCTTCCAAAACCCTAACCCCTTCCGAGAAACCCCTCTTGTTCATCCCACCAGGACTTGAACCCGCCCAAATCAACCACTCCATGATTCTCCCCTTCTCCAACATCGTCGTCGGACCCTACGCCGGCGATTCTCGAATCAAAGATGTCCAGTTCGTTAAGAGTAGTCCCCGTGCCAAAGACTGCCCTAAAGATGACCGACCGGAATTCGCTATTCTTGGTCGTTCTAATGTCGGCAAGTCTTCTCTCATCAACTCTCTTGTTCGTAAGAAAGAACTCGCTCTCACCTCTAAAAAACCAGGTTCTTCCACTTCTCCTTTTCCCTTTTTTTTAAAATTTTTTTTTTTAAATATTGAAATTCATTTTTGGTATTTCTTGCAGGGAAGACACAGCTTATCAATCACTTTTTGGTCAACAAAAGCTGGTACCTTGTGGATTTACCTGGTTATGGGTGAGTCACTCACACTCACAAACATCCTCATATTATGATTGTCTTGGGCCAATGACTTATTTCAACTTATCTAATAACATAAGCACTTGTGAGACTTTTTTGTTTATGACATTTATTAAGTCACAAACGCATAGAGTTTATATGAAAATAATTTGACTTTATTTAATTTTTTGTTATAGAATCACTTATACTTATACATATATGCACCGATCTGGTAAGCACTTATGTTATAAGTGCTTTCTTAAGTTGTTTATCCAAACAGAACATATATCACTTGAATTGAGAACAAATCGTTGATTCAACCAGCTTAGTGATAACAGTGTTGTTTGCTTACTTGTATTCTTAATTGGTAGGCCTCATCAGGGATTTCTTTATTGATGTTCTTTTTCTGTGTTTTTCTTAGATTAGAGTGTATTTAAGGTCAGTGATTGGAGGTGTAACTGTTAGCCAATTGTCATGGGTAAAACTGTTTCTCATGATTGTGCTATTTTTTGTATGTTTATGCAGTTTTGCTAAAGCATCTGAATCCGCTAAAACAGACTGGTCTTCGTTTACAAAAGGTTACTTTTTAAATAGAAATACTCTAGTGTCTGTCTTGCTTCTTATTGATGCAAGTGTTCCGCCTCAAAGGATTGACTTCGATTGTGCAAATTGGCTTGGACGCAATAACGTATGCTGTTTTTTTTTTTGTGTGTTTAGTTCATGTTGTAATGTTGTTAGGGTACCGAATTAAGTCTGAATTATGTTATAATTTTGTGGATTGCAGATACCAATTACCTTTGTTTTCACAAAATGTGACAAAATGAAGGCGGCGAAGGGAAAGCGGCCGGATGAAAACATAAAAGAATTTCAAGAGATAATTAAACAAAACTACAAACAACATCCCCCGTGGATTATGACCAGCGGCGTCACTGGATTGGGAAGAGATGAGCTTCTCTTGCATGTATCTCAGCTAAGAAACTACTGGGATCAATAGGAGAGTAGCTTAATTCTAAGCAGGATGTGAATATCTATAAGAAGAGCATTCCATGCAGGAGCAAAGTTGAAATTACCAAAGATACAATCATATAGGAGACTCATGTGTGAAAGGATAGGGGTTGACTAGTATTTCAGCTGAATCACTGTTCCACTCAGACCACAACCTGATATATATATGGTATCTAAATCTTACACATGGATTTATAAATACTGAAATTTACATGCTGTCATGTTGTAGTTGTACACTTAAGGGAGTAATACAGCATAAGAAATATCACATGCCTTCAACACTGATTTTTATATTTTTATCTTTTTTGAATCTAGAGTACATATTTCTGCATAGAATTTCCTTGGCTTTTGTTTGCTAGATGAGAAGGAAACTTGTGCAATACTTGAACATTATTGATGTTTTGCTGTATTTAATAGCTTACCACCATTATTGATGCGGCCACTTTTTCTTGCTTACCTCTGTTATTGTATATGTTGACTTAGTGTTATAATACTTAGGCTCACACCTATATTCACAACTTATTAATGGGCACACTGGGTAGTACTAACGGGTAGTACTAAATAAAAAACATGCCTTTTTTTAATTAGGTACTTAGCACCGTGGTAGTAGTTTGAGATAATCTTCTGTTTATTTATTACATACATCTTCCAACGTTTTTGACAGTTCACTTCAATGCATAAAATTCTGCACGACTAACCTAGAAAGATTTAAACTTATTAACTTTCAACTCTGCTTCATAGATGCGAATGACTTCATCCTGCCAATATTATTTTACTTTGATGTTATTATTATATTGTGTGTTTAAAAGGGATGTACTTTGTGTCCATTTTAATCCAACCTAAGATGAAGAACAATGGAACACATAACTCCACATATTAGTTCTGTTATTAGTTCTGGTATAAGCAGTTCATATGGTGTAACTCAATGGCTGCATCTGTTACTAAGTTTTGGATCTGCATTTCTTTTGTTAATGTCCTTCTCAATATTTTTCATATCCATTGAAAATGGATTGAATGCATCAATGATCTCAAGTTCTCCCAACCAAGAAGACTTCAAAACTGCATGCTGATACAATCCAGATAATGGTGGTGAGCAAAGAGATGAGACCCTTAGGGGTCTTAAGTTTTGGCCACAAAGTAGCATTGTGATCAGGGTACCAGGCTTTAAGTTCGTTGCCAGAAGAAATGGCATTCAAATCTTTGTAGTTATGGTTTACATAGGATAATCTTCAATACGTAGTTTACTACAAAAATGAAATATATAGATCTTACGTTATTTATTCACTTTGTGCATAGGATTTTGGTAAAGGACACACTTTTATTTACTCCTTACAAGGAATTGATTGCAAGACTTTAAACTACTAAATCTTAATTAACAACAAGAATTCACCCGTCTTGTGTTAATATTAGCAAATAGAGGAAGTCTATAAGCATATGAAAATCTCTTTGAACAAAATATGCCATGTTATAGATGGTTATTAATGCATTATGTTTCGACACTATCTGCAGCACATATAATCCTTAAATGTAGATAGATCATTAAAATTGAGTTTGATATGCAACGAAGTTTATTTAAATGTAAAGTCCCGTTTACTTTGAAGTGTTTTCTGTTTTTATTTTTATAAAATACACTAAAAACCTTTTTAAAGTGTTTTCTGTTTTTATTTTTATAAAATACACTTAAAGTAAAAGAGGTCCAAATCGGATTAGTTGGTTCGGACATCCATAGTGAAAAATGAAAAAAAAAAATTTAAGATGTAAAAGACTTAAAAATCGTAACCAGTAACTATGGTGGATAATTTAAAAACAGTTTTTGAAAATTTTGGTGAAAAATGACATTATTTGTGTTAAAACTTTACAAAGGAAAAAATATTTTTCAAAAAACATAGCAAAAATACGAGTGTTTGCGGTGTGGTTTAGGCAGTTTCGATGATAAAAATTATCTGAATTGCAAAAGAAAAATATGTTGTTTGATTTGGTTCAATTGACTTTAAGAAATAAAATCAAACCAAATCAAACTCAAATAATGCGGTTTGAGTTGGTTCGATTAGTTCAATTTTTTACAAAATTTTATTAAGTCATACATATACATATCGATAACAACATAATTATATTTAGTCATTCATATGTTACCATAAAATAAATTTATAATCTCATACATAAATATGAATTACATCTTACAATTTTATCTTATATTTAAAGAATAATATATATGAGATTGTATTTTTAAATAAATTTTAAATACTTGTGTAGTTATAAATAAGTGATAACACTATAATTTCTTTTTTATTATCAATTTTTTATATATTATGAGATACAAGACTAATGTAAATTAAACTTTTTTCTTTTAGTACTATGCAAAAGGTGATGCATGGCAACTTTCAAATGGAGCTTTTGAAACAATGATTCTTCTCAAGGATGCCGGAGGTAAAAAAAAAAATATTTCATTTTCTTAAGCTATTTTTAAATCGTAAAACCTGTAAATTTTCTACAGTTAAGTCCTTGCTAGATTCTTTGAAGTTAGTCCTTGCTAACTGACTCAGTTAAGATGGCTATTGTATCCAATTTTGACCCCCCGCTTAAGGAAGCTATTGAAGGATCTTAACGTTTTACATCTGTGAGCATCAGCCATTCCTTTAATACGGTTACACAAACTATATTTTATTTGAATTTTTGGTGAGGTGTCCATCTAAGAAGGTTTGTTGAAAAACGCTTACTTTGCAGAAATCCGACAAAGTCTGATGACTGTATCTTTTTCTTGTAAATGGTTTTTAATGTTTCATTTTATGGTTTTCATGTCAGATTTGATGCTGTCATTATATCATCAGAGGTTGGATACGAAAAACCAGACCCGAGAATATTTCATGCTGCTCTAGGTATGTGATTATTAGTTAATGCTGCCCAAACTTCATTTGCGAAAAATATGTCATGTTTCTTGACAAAATTATACCCGAGTTCAAATACTAGCTGGAACAATCTTTGACGAGACTTTATTTAACACAAGGATGAACTCCAGATTACCAAATGTTTGCTGTTGTGCCTGCTAACCTTAACTGTGGGAGCACTGCTTTAGTTATTTGAGTTTCACTGCCAATGTTTTCCTTCTAGATCAAGACATTGGAGATGATCTAAAAGCAGATAAACTGGGGGCCAATGCTGTAGGGATAGATTACTGGTGAGAGCTTTTTCTTGTCTGAAATGATAATTACTTTTTTTTACATCTTATTTACTGTTCTAAACTGATATGTCAAAACAGGTTAGTTTTGCTGAATCTTCCGTGAAAATGGGAAACGGGTCTTCACAGTTTGTGAAGATAGAGGAAGAATATGAGAATCAAGAACAGAGTCAATTTCCATTTCCATTACCATTGTCATTTGAATTTCCGTTGTCAAGTGGTAGTACTAGTTTGAGTAGGAACAAGAAGTCTGCTTTGCAATATGATGAGATTAAGAAACATTTTGATATTCCTATAACACTAGCTGCTAAGAGATTGAACATTGGTGTGACCCCCCCTTTAAAGAAGAGGTGCAGAGAGCTCAATATCACAAGGTGGCCTCACAGAAAGTTGATACTCCATATATGCCTCGGTTAATACTCCATAACTTCTCTGTATGTTTGAAACATGTCGTTCAAGGATGTTGTAGCAGTTTGATAGCCATTTGTGAGTAGTGGCTGTTGACATGAGATTATGAGTGAGGGAAGAACATGAAGGAGAAGGAAAATGGTGAGTTTGAGTTGTGCTCTTGATTTGTGTTATAATCGTTGTTGTAAAACTTGTTTGTAAGGTGTTCGATAAAAATTCAGAATTAATATTTTTCTTTTTTTTCTTTGGTTAGTTTAGAGGAGGTTTAAAACCCTCCATTACAAATTGTTTCAGATTTTTGTCAAGTAATCTTTTACGTGACGTGCCACGTCAGCCTCCATTAGTAAAACTAACGGGAGGAATCAATGTTAGAATGAAAAAGTTTGCAAAGATCATTCATTGAAAAATATTTTTAGAGTGACTATAATTACATGGTTGTATATTTATAGGGACTTCTGACATATTTAACCCTATAAAGAATAAGGTAAAATAAACACATAAAGTATATGTTAATTTAACAAAACAATTAAAATATATAATGGTTTTTAAGATTTTGTAATATAATGGAATTTGTTTTGGTTCAGTTTGATTTATAAAATATAAATCAAAAATCGAACTGAACCGTACGGTCTAATTTGCAAATTCAAATATATCCTAATCAAATATGGTTTTTGTAGTTTTTAATTTGATTTGGTTCGATTAGTGATTTTCTATTAGGTTGGTTCAGTTTTGAACACTCCAAAAGTGACGTGTTCTTCGCTTTTTTGAATTTTCATGCCTTTCGTTTTCAAAATGCATATTATCTTGATTGCTTCCTATCATCTTAACTGAAGATAACATTCAATAAATGTTAGGCTATGTTGCTTTGCTTTATTGATATCATTTTTATGACTAGTAAGAGATTCGTGTTGTCGCATTGATATTCGTATATTTGATGTAGTATATTTTGAATGATATGATAATATGCGTAAATATCACTCAATTTTTTTTATTAATGATTATGTAAATTAATTATACATAAAAAGAAATAATTATGCAAATATAAAATTTTAGATATAAATACAAATTTTAAAATAATTTATTTATTTGTAAAATGAATAATATTCGTATAGATTTAATTATATTAAATAATTATATAAAAATAAGAAAAAAGTACCATGAAATAGAGAAAATAAATATTTAAAAATAAATATTTTATTTATAAAAAAGAAATTATTAATTTAAATAAAATAGATTATTCTGATAATAAGATAAAAAGTTAATTATCTGTACAAATTTAAAATATAAATATCAATAATGATTTTAATAAAGTCAAATTATGCAAAAAAATATATAAAAGTATATACTATAAGGGGCATGTTTATTTTAAAATAAATAGTAAATTATCAATGGAAAAGAAAATAATTAAAAATAATTTTGATGAAAAATATATATTTTATTAATTATTTACAAACTTAATATATTTAACTTTAAATTTAATAATTTAGTACGATACATAAAATTAATAAATTTAATAATGATTTTGATGTCAGAATATAACGTAATTTACTATAACAATTATTCTATATTAATAATTCTACTATAGATGTTAAAAGTTTTTTCTCCAAAGTGTATTAAACTGACTTAGTAACAAAGATACTATAGATGACATTATTTATATTCTCTATTAAATTATTTATTTATGATAAATTCTAACTTTCATATATATATATATATATATATATATATATACACTAAGGGTTCAAGTTAAGAGATAAATATATAAAATGTTTAAAAATTAAATAAATAAAATATTTTTATTTAATTAAAGTTAAATTTATATTTGATAAAATATAAAATATATTTTGAAATATATATAAATTTAAAATGAAATATTTAATTGTAAAAAACGGTTATCATAAACTCCAATTGTATTTAATAGTTATACAAAATGAAAAGAAAAAAAAAGGAATCAATGAGATGGAGAAAGAAATTTATTTATTTTTTATATTTGAAAGTTAAGATTTTACTTTTCAAATAAAATTTATTGTTCATTAAAATAAAATATATATTATATTAATAATGATCATGAGACATTATATTTATTCCGTGGTACAAATTTATAAGATATATTTGTTTTGTATACATATGATAATTGGATGATGAAGTTCAAATTTATTTTGTTCATTAAAATAAATATCGATAGTAATCTGTAAGATATTCATAAATATTTATTGTGGTAAAAATTTATAATATATATTTGTTTTGTATACATATGATAATTGGATGATAAAGTTCAAATTTATTACGTTCATTAAATTTCTAATTATTGTGGTGACAATATTACACCTTATAATATAAAAGTTAGTATCATACTTTGCTTTGATCTCTACTGAAATCCGTGTTATTTAATTAATATATTTTTGTTTCCAGAGCAATGAGCGTAAATAAATTGCATTAAAGGATATCTATGTCTCTTCATGAAGTTGCCAAACCTAAATAAAACACAAATATCATTAAGCTATTTCTAAGAGTGATAAATAGTTGAAACACTTTGAATATTCAATGCTGAAACTAAAGTTCTTCTTAGACATGATCATGGGCTATAATTATAAGACCAACTAAATTAG